AGAAATATTAGTAGGAAGGCTGAATCATAGTGCGTACGTATTTCCACAAATGAAGGTGTATTGTTCAGCAATTTACAGGTGGATGAAAGAGTGGAAACACAAGTACGCCTTACGAGACATACCTGAAGAAGTGGTGGAGGATTTAGCGATTTGGAAGCATACCTTAACAGTCGCTGAACCTTTAAGAACCATCCCTAGACCCGAAACAAGGACAGTAGGTTGGGTAGGGGACGCATCGACGTCTTACGGCCTAGGTATCATCATCGGAATATACTGGGCACGATTTAAGCTAAAAGATCGGTGGGATGAAGAAGAACCTGATGGGTCGAAGCGCGGGATCGCTTGGGCTGAAACAGTTGCAATACGGTTAGGCTGGCAGATGTTGAAATGCCTGGAAGATGTAAGAGGAAGAACTTACCTAGCTTTAACTGATAATACAGTATCGGAAGGAGCGATAAATAATGGAAAGTCTAGGGATCCACTGGTAAATCGGGAGTGGAAGCGAATACAGGAAGACTTGTTATGGCACAATAGTGCAATCGAAGCTAAGAGAGTTAAGTCTGCAGACAACGCGGCAGATGCATTGTCTAGAGGATTAGATTCGACAAAGCAGAAGGAGAATATGTTGCTGATTAGCTTGCCGGCAGACCTGAAAGAATTCATGTACCAAACTTGATAAGAAATAGGAAACATACCTGTGACATCCTTTTGAACCGTTTTTGCAGTCACACAACCTAGCGAGAAGAGGTAAGCTACTTAGTAAGAGAGACGAGAAGATAGCAGGAGTGAGAGGATCAACTTACCAAAGGAAAACTTGGGTATAGTGAAAATGGAGGTAAGTGATCGCCAGCAGTTGAACAACGAAAGCTCGTGAGATACAATGACTAGCAATAGAGGGGCTCCGTTCATCGCCTTCGAGCAGCTCGTGAGATACCATGAGACTTATGGTAGGTCTCCAAAGGGACTTGAACGAAAGGTACTAGATAACCTAGGGGACTGGTAAAGAGGAAAGAGAAATGTCAGCGACAGAACCTTCACATTTGATTGATAGAACCACGTCCCAGGAAAGACAATACCTAAATCGATTTAATACCTTAATCGATTTACTTCATAGACATGCCACCATATAGAAACCCAACCAACGAATCAAGAAGACAGTCAGACTTACCAGGTCACTTTGAACAAGCAGCGAGAGACGCGACACTAGCCGGAGCTCATATGGCGGCAAGTGGTTGGGCTAAATCCACGTTAAAAGGTTATTCGTCTGGACTGTCGAAGTATATCACCTTTGTCGAATCAACCGGAAAGAAATTTCGAGATGACAAGAAGATATCAGCAAATGAAATGTACAATTTTATAGTGTGGGCAGGGGAATCGGGAGTCACCGTAAATGATCCACCAAAGAGAAAGGTAGCTTTGAAAACCATTGATAAGTATATTGATGGAATACAAGCCTGGCACTTAGTGAAACATGTCGCTAAAATCGAATTAGATGAAGGAATCGTTAGGATCTTATTGAGAGCGACGAAGAAAAAGGAGGAAGGTGTCTTGCTCAACTCAGAGAAAAAACCTGTAACTGTCCAGCAATTACTCACGATGTTGGATAGATGCACGGGACGATCAGAAGAACACGAATTCGTAGCAGCAACCGCGCTAGTCGCCTTTTGGGGTTTAATGCGGTTAGGAGAGGTGTTCCGGTTTAAAAAGTCCACTCTCACTGTTACAATTTAGGTAACATTTATGTACAAGAAGGGGTGATATACTAATCACCATCCCTGCCCTTACCTTGCCTGGCGGTGAGGTAAGTGCTTTATGGGAAAGCGCGCGGAGCGAGCGCGAGTTTGGTTTTACCCAACCAAACTCTTGGTTTGTTGAAACCAATCCCTTGGTTTTCCAAACCAATCTGGGAGTTGGTTGAGATCTGGTTTGGTTTTGCTAACCAAAGGGATCTCGCGGCTCATTTACTATAAACTGGCTCATTCCGATGAAGGGGTTGTCCGATTCCCCTTATCCCAAGGATGGTAAGGTACAGACCTGCCGTTCTTGGCCGGTTGGACAACCCCTTCTACGGCATGTCTGGGACTCAACTCTCGAGCATTCGAGAAGCATGTTCCGGGGTTAATGCGGTAATACCGCCATTTTTGAGATTCTTCTAACGAAATTGAATTGCCGTGTATGAACCTTAAAGGTTGCATCAACGTTTTCCCGCCTTTGAGTTTCAACTACCCAGTCTTATTCTGTCTAAAAATGTTTTCGTCTCCTCTATTTCCGTGAGAGAATAACTTTTTATGTAGCGTCTGAAGGCCTCAGATTTCCACCGTCCAACTTTTTGTATCACTTTCTCTGGAGTTCCTAAATTTGCCCTTAACGAAGCTCCTCCCACCCGGAAAGAATGTCCTGACCATCTTTCTAACATTGATTTTCCCCAGACTTTCTCCACCGCATTGATGAAGACTCTTTTCGTCAAGGGTCCTTTAGTCGTCTGAAAAACCAAGGCTTCTCGCTCTTTCATCGGGTTCGCTTTAAGGATTCGTTTGAGTGCTCTCACCGGGTCTAACACCGAAGGTTGAGCTTGAAGGTGGATGACCTGAATTTCGTTCGGTGAGGCTGTTTTCCCTTTCCTCAAATGAATCTTTGCCCATTCGCCTTTGTTTGACATTCCGAATTCTACGTGGTGGTTTAGGATTGCACCGTCTTTCTTTTCCGTCCTGAAGATCTTGCCTAACCTCAACATTCCCCAAAACACAATCAATCCGACGTCTGCCACTAAGGTTTGTACTTCCGATTTTCCATAAGATTCAGACAATAACCTATATAGATGTTTGACCTTCACTGGTTTCTTTGCCGATTCCAAGACTTCGCCCTCTTCTTCTCTTCGTGTAGCTCGAAGTAACATCTTTACAATCTCTGGATCGATTGAAATTTTCTGTAAATGCTTGACTATGTGCCATGCGTTTATCCCGTCTAAGTATTTGTCGATTGTCTTTGCCGTGATAGGCTTCTTTGGCGGATTCGGTAAGTTTATCTTTGTTCTACCGGCCCAGGTTATGAATCCGTATATATCATCGTTACTGATTGGTTTCTTTTCGTCGAACGTCATTCCTTTTGATTCGATAAAGGTGATATATTTCGAGAGACCGGATGAATAACCTGATAGGGTCGACTTAGCCCAGCTACCAACCGCTAGATGTGCTCCTGGGATGGTTGATTGCTTGACCGCTCTTCCGAAATGTCCAGGTACTTCATACGTTTTTGTACTTTTGGTGAGTTTCTTTCTCTTTACTTCTCGGGGCATGATTTGATTAATCTCTGAAGTTAACTGTCTTCTTTCATTTGGTTCTAGTTACTTGTCATTGAACTCTCCACTCGGAAACCTCTCCTTGATCTCACTTCGACTCGCTTACGAGTCGTATATTTTTTTTTTTTTCACACACCCGGCAAGTTGGAGACCAAATTGGCCAACTCCGTGGTGAACAGTCGTGATCTTAATGAAAGAGGGCCTGCTTTCTCTCACGGGTCACAAGGGGTCTCACATTGGTTTCAATTCAACTTCATTGCAACCTCCCTTCCCGACTACATCTGTCTTAGGAAGGCGTTCAGATCCTTTGGTAGGTCTACTACTATCTTATCTTCGTTCTTCTTTTTTGAGACTTTCCCTCTTGACAACGCGTCTGCCGCATTGTCTGCTGATATTACCCTCTTAGCTGTTATCGAGTACTGATTCTTTATCAGCCGTTCCTGGATCTTTTTCCATTCTGCATTCACTAGGGGATCTTTTGATTTCCCATTTACCACTGCGTTTTCCGTGACCGTTTTGTCTGTCAGGACCAGGTAATTTCTACCCTCTACTGATTCTAGCTGTTCAATCATCAATAAACCCAGGCGTACCGCGACCGTCTCGGCCCACGCGATACCACGTCTGTCCCCGTTCGCTTCTCTTGCATGCCAATTGGGTTTGAGTTTAAACTGAGACCACTTCTTTCCTATGATAATGCCTATTCCATAGGAGGTTGAAGCGTCTCCCACCCAGCCTACATTTCGAACAACCGGTTTTGGGATCACCCTCAGTGGGTTTGCCTCTCGTAAGGTATCCAGCCAGATATTCAAATCTTCTACAATCTCTTCTGATAATTTACGTAGTGCGTACTTTTTCCCCCAATTTTTCATCATTCGGTAAATTGCCGCGGTATATACTTTCATTTGTGGAAAGACAAAGGTAATGTGGTTTAATCTACCTACCATAACTTCCGTCTGTTTAAAAGACTGCTTATCTGCTTGTAAGTACTTCATGATTTGGTTAATTCTTAATTCAATCTTTTCTTTTGGCAACCTGACGGTTTTATTTTCCCCGTTCCATACAAAACCTAGGTATTTTTGTTCTACGTCGAACTCCCGCCACTTCTTCTCATTGGTTTCTACTCCCAATCTTTCACTTGCTGATGCTATTTCTTTCATTGTCGTTTGGTTTGACCCGTCCGCGGGTTTTATGAATAATGTGTCATCGACCCATCGGAAGCCCTGAAGTAAGTTAAATTTAATCATCATTATTTCCTTCCAAGCTTCCGCCGCCTCTCCGAAAGTTCCGCATCCGCCTACCCCGCCGAACTGGACTCGTGTATTGGCGTAAACTTGGTTGTTGAAGCCGAGGATCATAAGGAATCTCCATTGATTCATTGCAACAGGTATTTGACGATAGGCTTTTGCCCAATCAAATACTCCTAGCACTAGACGTCCTTTATACATAGTAAAAAAGTAGGCTACCTTCTTGAAGTCATCCCAAGAAGTTTCGAAGTCATCTTTGTCGACTCTGAAGTTTACTGATTCGATTTCGGGGTCGTTTTTCGGGTACGAAAGGTTACTTATAGGTCGAAATGATCCGTCCCCATTTACGGCTGCTCCAAGTGGGTTTGTTCTAAAGAAACCCAATTTCTCGAACGCCTCTTCTTTCGACCAAGGTCCGAAAATTCTGCCTCTCTTAATCTCAGCTTCAATGTTTTCTTCTATCTTTTCTTTCGCCTTCAACGCTGACGTGTGATCTTCCGGACAATAATACCGCATTCCTTTTATTTCAGCATCTCTTATACCTTGATCGAAACCATGCTTAAACCCCTTTAGGATATGCTCATACTTTACTTCTATTCCATATCTTCGAAGCTCTTGTTTCCACACTGATAGGTTCATTTCACACGAGGGAGTTTCTGGCCAATATCTGCCTCTTCTTTCTGACGGTACCTCTCCACTTGACACCTTTGGGCTTAACCTGTTTTGAAGACAGGAAGGAGGGTGTGGTGGTATGAAGGGGTCATTTCGTTTTGATTTGGGTCAAGGTGGCAAGAATGTACACGGAAGGCAAAGGGTATGTATCACATGTTAGCTACTCAATGGCAATTTGGCACGTGTCTTTCGACTTTTATTTCAAGGAGCATGTGATTCCGACTGTATCGTTCTTAGCTTACGCTCTTTTCCCGTTCACAGGTTTTCCATTTCTATCCCTTCGGTCAGGGCTTCTGCTTTTATCACGATGGCTAGCATACCGGTCTCCATAGCAATCTTCTCTTTTCCTTCCATCGTCAAATCGTCCTTTATATCCTCCACCTTTACCTCTTCCGTTACCTTTGTAGCCACTTGAGGATGCATGTCTATTCTCTTTCGCATGGTAAGTTGTTTGATTTGATCCTGACGAGTTCTTCGGCTTATTCGTGATTGGACAGATATTTTCTTTTGGCTTCCCGGACGCATAAGGATTTGTCTTGTAATGACGTTTGTTGTAGCTTTCCGCGGTCGTCTTCGCCTCGGCTAACAAGATCTCTTGAAGTTCGGCATAGTTCCCAACCGATTTGTCAACCGTTTCCCTCATTACACCTTGCCTAACTAACTTGCAGTACCTTAACGCTACCATCCAACCAAAATCTTTACGAAGCTTCTTCACTACTGCTATGTGACCTTCAAACTTTGTTGCTACGGGCCTCCAACCGCAAGCTACCAGGTGAGTACAAAAAAGTTCCATACAATCTCCCCACACTTCGTAATCGATAGTTAATTCTTCGACTGGGGCTTCTCCTCCATAAATCCGTGCTTCACCTGACTCCTTCTTATCTGATTTGGTAGTTCTTGAAGACCACGCCTTTTGATCCGCTACCAGCCATTCTTCATCGAAGACAGTCAATTGGATGTATGAAGTAAGTCCTTTTAGAATTATAGTTAGACCTGGTGATAAAGGCGCTAATGACTGTTTCATTTGTGCACCCCCTCCTCTTAAGATCCTTCCGTTGTGGATCACATCCCCGTTACTCAATTCTAACAAACCTTTCTTCGAAGACATTATCGCGAGAGCCTTGTCCGATTCCTCCTTTGACGTGGCGCCTTCGAACCACGCTGACACATCTGTTGCTTCGTCGATGGCGCCCGGGACAGTAGGCTGGTTCTGTCCTGCCGGTGGTTGAATGTGCACATCATGAGACAGGGGCGGATTGGCTGCTATAGTTTGGACGATTGGATCTTTAACTCGTTGTGAGTTTTGTGGAGGGACAATTTCCTTGACGAATGCTACCAAAGTTCCATCTGACATTTTGGTATCGTCTTCGTCTAAGACATATGGGTTCTTCGTTGGTCTTTCGTCCCTGCCTCCATCCAGGATCCGCTTTAGAGACTTAGCTTCTTTGTCGTCCCCTCTGTCGTAAGCGTCTTGGATTAACGCTCCGAGGGTGCTTCTCCTTGCCTGGTCTGATTATTTTTCCAATGAGATGCACAAACAGTCAGCTGACGTCCTGTATTCAGCTTGTCTTTCTCGTGATCTAAACGCGATGGGTGGATTCCTTTCTGCAGTCTTGTTAAATTTCCGCAGCCTTTAAGATATCCCGGCATACGACTTTTGGAGACTCTATTGTCTAGGCACCTATTTTAAGCCGGGCCGAGGCTGGGTTCCTACTGTAAGCCGGACCATGGCTGGGTCCCTATTTTAAGCCGGGCCAGGCTGGGTTCCTATTGTAAGCCGGACCTGGCTGGGCACCTATTCGAAGCCGGGCCAGGCTTTCTTGAAGTACGTTCATCTTCCCTGTATTCTACCTAAAGCATAAATCTTTGGGAAAAAACCGAGCGTAATTATACTTTTTGGACTTCGGCACAGGTTCTCTTTTCCATATATGTTGGTTAGGTTTCCTGCGCCATTTACATCCTATCTATGGTTTATCAAGGCGGAACTGAGAATTTTATGAAGAGGTGGATTTGAAATGTGTTACTGAAGATTGTGCCGATGGGTGGGTACGATATCTTGGAATTATTGTGGTATATAGAATGTAGAGAATTTCATAGACGAAGTGTGGGAATGAGTTGAAAAGTTTATCAGACTTACTTTTATGATCTGTACGCTCATTTCCTTGTTCTTCCTCTTCTCTCTCCTCTGTACCTTCCTCGTTTCCACTACCTATTCCTCCCCACTCTTCCATCTCTTCTTCTACCGCTTGAAGTTCCTCCTCCCTTTCATTTCGCGGTTCCACCTGACGCCTTTCCTTCTTTTTCCTCAACTCCTGTTGCGTTTTCCTCAAGCCTTTAGGACGTTGTCCATATTTCTTGATTCCTGACATTCTTCCGTTTTGATCACCGGTAGGAGTTCTTTGTGACGTTACGCTTCGTCGGCCGTTTCCACCCCGCTTCGGTGTTATGAGTCGATTACCTGGTTGTACCCCCGTTGCTGCTGCATTTGCTCTCGTCAGAACTCTGTTTGTTTGTTCTAATTGGAGCTGAAATGACATTTTTGTTGTTTTCTTGGTTCTTTTTTTAATTTTCTTCTTTCTTTCCTTGATTTATATCTTGAAATTTTCTTTGACTTTAATCGGTTTGATTTGTGTGTTTTATTTTAATTTTGTTGTAATAATAATAATTTTGAAAAGAACAGAAAAGGTTGACCTAAATAAGATTCGTTGGTTCGAATCTTTCCGTGTGAGGTGCTGTGGTTTGACTCGTATGCGGAAATAGGTCGTGGGAGAGAAGGAAACCTTAGAGTATTGCTTCTCTACGACCAGCCGCGGGACTGTGACATGTGTCTTACATGTCACCTCATAGTTCACAGCATCGTGGACACACGCACCAAACCGTGCCTTATTTGGTGCACATCAGACGATGGCGCTTTATTGAGACGAAACGTAGAATTCGGAGAATCTGGAGGAGGAAAATGGGTGAAACTACATTTACGGAAAGGGAAGACAGCGAAACCGAACGAAGTACAGATCATACACTTACAAGAACAGCCCTCGGTACTAGATCCAGTGGCCGCGGTAAGAAGGATTATGGAGATGAATGGCAGCACAGATCGAGACGAGTTCCTGTTTAAGACGAAGAAGGGTTTGCTGAAGAAGAAAAGGTTTTTAACAATCCTAAGCGAAATCTGGGGTGAAGCGAAGATAGGGACTTGGACAGGTCACTCCTTTCGAGTAGGAGGAGCATCGATTAGAGCAAACTTAGGAACAAGTGAGAAAACATTGAAGAAAGCAGGCCGTTGGAAGTCTGATTCGTACAAAAGATATGTAAAGTTATTTACTACGGAAGAACTACAAAAGACGGAAAAGTTTTTAGATGCTATAAATAATAACAAAGTTCGTTGAAAGATATTCAAGAATATAGATGGATATTCAAGAAATATAATCACACTCGTTGAGTTAAATGCACCATGCATTGACGCACCTGAGACCAAAGCCGTGAAGGGGATTGTCCTCCAGGCCAAGGACGGCTTTTAGCAAGATTAACAGCTTCCTTGGTAGTGGGAGCGTCGGACAACCCAACCAACCCTCAAAGGAGGGTGGGAGGGAAGGAGGCTGAAAGCCACCCGCACTCGTAGAGATTGGTTTCGAAGAACCAAAATGAGCGCGGGGCACAGCTTCCCCCGAAGACCTCTCACCTCACCAGAAGGCAAGGTGAGAGGCGGGTGGGTTTAAAACTCAGTTAGGATAACAGAGTGGGTTTTACATTAAACCCACCTCTGATGATATCTTTAAGCTATGAACTAAGCTGAAGAGTGGATGGAATACACCTCGAGGCACGAGTTGGTGGAAATGTCCACTCTCGTGAAAGGTCTAGATTAGGAGTGACACTTGGCGTCCGAGAACTTCTCGGAAGAGATTTGTAATTCGAAATCTCTCTAAGCCATTCAGTCACTCCTCATCTAGACCTCCACAGCGCTTAGCTCAAGCATAAAAGATAAATCAAAATAGTTTTAAAAATTCCTACCCACCCACCCGGCGAATTAAGGACCCACCCACCGACCCAGGCTGAAAGCCACCCGCACTCGTAGAGATTGGTTTCGAAGAACCAAAATGAGCGCGGGGCACAGCTTCCCCCGAAGACCTCTCACCTCACCAGAAGGCAAGGTGAGAGGCGGGTGGGTTTAAAACTCAGTTAGGATAACAGAGTGGGTTTTACATTAAACCCACCTCTGATGATATCTTTAAGCTATGAACTAAGCTGAAGAGTGGATATACTAGTCATTATATGGAATATACTAGTATATTTATACTTATACTATGCTGAAAATATACCCAGTATATTTGGATTTACCAAACATACCTGGAAGACACCTACAAGTTTTTGACAAGTTTTTATAAATATACTGCAGTATATTTCAATTATACTATACTATACTGCACAATACTATACCATGTTTGGAAATATACTATACCAAGTATATTTCAGGTCCAGTATAGTATAGTGCAGTATAGTACAGTATAGTATAGTGGCAGCCTTGGTTCTATTATGTGAATGAACAATTATTCAAAGGGACGGTGACTCTGCATTGGGTAGAATCAAAAAATCAAAAGGCTGACATCTTAACCAAGGCACTGGGCCCATTGCTGTTTGCGGCTGGGAGGAAGAATTTATGTTTGGAGTAGTTTTTCTTATTTTCTTTTATATTTTCTCTTTTGATTTTTTAAAGATATATGTGTGCGCGTTTTTTTCTTATCATCAGTTTCATTTTTTGTTTCGAGAGGAGTGCTGTGGCTTGTCGTGGGGGGGTGTTGTAGAGTTATGGGGTTACACGACTGCACCACAGCGTGTCACGTGATGTTGTACAGTCTCTGCTTTGTAGTCAAGTCTCATCTCTCCGGGAGAAGCTTCCACATCACCAACTACTGTGGACCAGCCTGAGCCCCGGCCACTATCCGTCGAGTAGTGGCCTGCCCGGACCCCGCCCCGAAGCCAATCTAGCTATCCCGGAACCGTTCCCAAACTCCCGAACGGGTTTTTTTTTCGAAAAAAAGCTGCCCGGACCCCGACCGGGTTACTCGACGGATACTCGAGATCTGGGCCAAAAAGGTGGCTCGCCCGTGGTTCGAACTCCGAACCGGAGCTCTTGAGATAGATAGGCGCAAGCAGGGGAGCATATTATCTCATCCCTGGCTTTGACACCCCGGGCAAGGCAGCGACGCTCCCTATGTAGCGTCATGCGGACGCTTCGGGGCGGGGCTGGAGCTTCACATGAAGCGTCACTGGATGCCGCATGTGTAACTTCTGAAGCGTCACCAGGTGCGGCACAGCACAGCTGCATTGAGCGTCACGTTGCCTCTCAACCTCTTCAGGATCCTTGAATGGATCCACACAAAACCCACTTCTTTCCATCTTCACCTCACCTCAATGTTTTCCTCCATCACATTTCAAGCCGGATCAACGAACAAATCGAATCGACAATCAATTGGATCCCAAAATTAAATCCACTCGCTATAAACCTCAATTCACGATTGATCCTATTAATAATCAACTTTAATCCATAAATCGATTGATCAGCTACTTCAATCATTAAACAAACTCAATTGATTCGTCGTTTCATGTTATGAAAGAGCAGAAGGCCAAGTGAACAAAGAAGCAATAGGGATCAAAGAAAATGTCAATTTGACACACATCAACCACCACAAGATCATCTGAACCACAAAAAGAACGATTTCAAGACATATCATTTAAACAAGAAGAGTTTACACATTTAAATGACATCATTAAATCAAGAACAAGAAGAATTCATAAGTCATATCTATCAATTACAAACACCACTGATTATGATTTAGCAAAATGAAGATTAGAAAATTTTAAAAGGAATTTAGATGTTAGTTATTTCTTTTCTAACTCAAACTTTCAACAAAAACTAACAAGTTTGAATTGCTGTTGGGTTAGGTCTTGAGATTAATTTGCTCTTTCTACTGTTTTCAATTCTACACCTATTTCTAGTTATGGTTTTTCAAATAAGGCTATTGAAGCCTCTGGAGTCGTGGCTGATCGACATCATCTATGTCCTGCACCTTAGGGAAAGTTGACATTTGGTGTGAACAACTTGGATGGAAATTGTATTCAATCCCATGTCTCACTCCAATCAGAGAGCCATTCTTAGACATTGTTAAATTGTATCATGTTAGGTCTTGTTTCTTCCTTATACTGTTTCTTTTGTTTCACTACTGATCAAAAATCGAACCTCATGTTTGTGTTTTGCATAGAAGTCATGATCCTAGTTGTCTTACATGAATATATTGAATGATCATCTAGCCACCTGGAGTCCAATTGAAGTGCTGCAGGTGAACTTTAGCAAATTCTGGGTCATCCACTATTGAATTATTCAAAAAGCGTGTTGTGTTTCTTAATTCTGATCAATGCAAAGATGTCTAATTGTGATGGGGTCTGAAGATACCCTTGCAAATGCAATTGTTGAAGCCAGAAGGTCCAATTTCAAAAGACATTCAATTTTGATTTGACTATTTGTTTTGAATCTCTAGATTCATCTTTTGTGTTTATTGTGGTTTCAAAGGTTTTGTATCAATGACTATGAACCTCTTTCGATGAGACCGCAGCTCTGAATTTAGAGAGACATGCAAAGCTTGAAACCATCTCGCTTACCATCACACATCCCTTGTTCTCAATAGATTTATTTTTTTCTCACAATTTGGTAATTACTTATAAGTGTATCTTAGATGCTTGACTGTTCATATGGTTCTATCACCGGTGGGTACTATCCTTTTGGAGATGTTATATTGTACAGCAGATAAGAATCATTCAAAGAAGAGTGTTTCATCAACTTGAATGTCACTGAATTACTAACGGACAATTTGATGGCTAACATTGAACCAGCCGCTGGTAAGATCAAAGAGATGTGGAGAAAGATCAAAGAGACAAAATGAAAGAAGACGAGGAAGATACTACAGAGAGTTGCACCTGGTGATGCTACAGACAGTCTGAGCCGGCATGCAGCACCTGGTGACGCTTCAGGCAGTTCGCGCGCAGCACCTGTTGACGCTCCATGTGAAGCGGCGGCCCCGGTCCGAAGCGTCCGCATGACGCTACATATGGAGCGTCGCCCCCTTGCCCGGGGTGTGAGTCTCTCAACCGGACACTGCTAATGTGGTCTTGCATAGCTGCAAGTTCTTGTGGGTTTTTTTGACCCTTCCACCACTCTACAAACACTTCTCAAATACGTGATTTGTATGCTAACAAACTAGGTTAAACTTATGATTAGGGCTTTGTCACCCTCACCGAATCAACCGCTACCTGCAGATCTGCAGGTAATTCAAAGTTCCTCGCCGGATCACCAAAAAGTCAGCAGGAAGTTTGAAAATCTCCATCTCGGCAAAGTTTGATTATCTCCATATCGGAAAGGACCTCACAAAGTTAGTAATTTCCCTTTTGTTTCAACTTTCCTTCCGTTTCGACTTCGTTCCTTTATTCCCTTTCCCTTATATTCCTTTAAATCATAACACTAAAGGCACAACCCAGTTTCTCGGCGAAACTGGATTAAACCCCTAAGTCCTTAACAAACTGGACGCCTAAGACTCCGCCCCCCTTAGGCTCAGCTGTTCCCGACCCCACCCCCTCTCTTCATCATCATCGAAAGAAATCTAAAAAGTAAGCATCTAAAAACCCAATTTGAACAAGTTAAACTCCAATCAAAAAACCCAAAACCGAATCAACAAATAATCAAAACCCAAAACAACAACAAACTCAAGAAAAAATCATGATCATGAGGAAGGTGTAAGGATTGAAAGAGAATTAGGAAATCATTTTAAATCATATCATATCATTTCACAAGACAATTTTATTTTCAGTTCGTAAGTGACTGTTTTGAGCTGATTGTTTCGAAAATCTATTTACCATTGTTTTGAAATCTTTCCATTAGATTTGATCCAGAAGAATAGCTCAGCCATTAAACCCACTCGAGAGTATTAGATCGAGATGTATAAAGGTGAAGATCTAAATCAAACCAAATCAAACAAGCTAGGGAGGAAGGAATCACATTTATGATCAATTTCATTGTAAGAGTCAGTCAATTTTTTCCCCTCAATAAGCTTGCTCTGATTATGAAATATGAATATTTGTCTTTTTTCTGGAAATAGTGTTGTGGTTGTAACAATAGTATAGAATGATATACAAAAAGGAATTAAAAACGTTAGTAAGACCTAAAACTTGAAAGGTATTCATTCCCCTTATCATCTGGAAAGAAAACCATTTCTAACACATGTCAAACTGAATCTGATGAACAAAAGCACATGTTTTTAAATGTTACAAACAAATTATCACACGCGTTATCCGATCAAACTAGGTACCTGATCATGCAAATCCACTCATTAACTCAAGAATCAATGACTCACCAAGACTGAAACTCACCACCAAGGAAAACTTTTGAAAAACTTGATTGATTTCTTTAAAACATTAATCAATATATCACATCAAAATTTAATCTTATATGAAACTGAATTAATGAACTCATCACAAACTTATTTAGTTAGTATTACTACATCTTCTTTAAGCTTGATTCAACATACTTCTACCTTTGTTTGTTTGTTTGTTTGTTTGTTTAGTT